CCCATAGGGTTCATACCCATCATGCCTCCTCGACCACCTCGCATGCCACCAGGGCCACCACGCATGCCCCCTCCCATCATACCTCCGCGGTTGTTGAAGCCAAAGTTACCGCCGCCGCCGCCACCCATAGGTCCATTGTAACCACCTCCCATGTTATTGTAGCCGCCCATATTATTGTTGTTGAAGTTTCGGTTGTAACCACCTTGGTTCATACCACCACGGTTGTAGCCTCCACCCCTTCCTCCTCGGAAACCACCACCAAAGTTACCACCCATATGGCCGCCGCCTCGGTCATTGTTGTATGAACCGGATGGTGCACGATTTTGATCCTTGCCTCTGGCAGGGGCATCTTTGGGTAGTGTCTTGAAAGGATTGTTGGTACTGGCCCAGTAGGTCAATGTGAGCTTCTTCTGGGCCCCTTGGCTTTCGGCTATGATCTGTTCAATACGCCGCTTAATGGCTGTAGATGCTTGGGGCGAGTAGAACTCGATGTAAGCTTGGCTACAAATCTGTCAGTCATCTGGGTCCCGACACTTGGAGCTGAGGGAATCGTACCCCTTGCTTTTGCCATTGACCTTGTGTTCGCTGAAGGTGATATCCTTAATCTCATCTTCGCAGTCGGCTTCTCGCGCCCAACCTCGAATATCATCATCTGTGTTCCACCAGTTAAGTTCCGAGATCATGAGCGAAGTTGTCGCAGATTGGTCAACTGGTCGACCATCATCCTCCTGTTTCCTCTTCGTCCCCTGTTGAGAGCTATGTGCTTGATGATGACTTGAACTGTGGCTGCCTCCAGCATGGTGTTGGTTGTCGGCGTGGTACTCTTCCATGTTCTGGTCACCGTGGCTATCCCTTCGATCATCGCCTTGGTGATGATCCTGGTTATTGTCATCGCCTCGGTGGTCATCTTGCTGATGGTCGTTGCTCTCATCGCCGTAGATATCGATTTCGAAGTCTTCTTCAGCCATTTTTACCGACTTAAAGTACTTGGCACAGGTTAATGCCGTGCAGGGATCTGGGAGTAATGAGGATATTGTCAAATGTGATAATTAGGCTGCCTGCGAGATACAAGAGTTGGCCTCTGGTCTTTACACATAAATTATCAGCCATTGAACGTTCCATCGCTAACAAACGCCGCCCGCAAGACTCAGAGGCCTTGTACACCCGAGAGAAATGAATTGGACTGGAAGCTTGCAATACGTACACTCCTCGTAACAAGATTGGGGCCCTATGATAGGTATAACCCCTGATGTGATGGTTCTTGACTCAAAGATGCGATACTCAGGACGAAGCTCTGTGCTTGCAATCCTCGTTGTCTAGCTCCCGATATTCCGAGCGAGCGCTCAGATACAGATGGGGAACAATGTAATAGAGGATGCCGTCAGCCCGATCAATGCCCTCCTTTCCCAAACCTCGATATCGAAACAATCGCGATCGGACTCGTTTCGCGAAGAATCGCCTAGCTAAAGGGATCTGCGTGTGTTAGTGATCCCAACGCTCGTGCTCCAACGTCGATTTTGGTCGACGATTGAAATCAGGCTCTGGCGCGCTCCAAGCTTGATCGCAAAGAAGGCGGGTTGAGCAGGCAATTTGTCGTACTCAGAGTGTGAGAAATACTTTGAAACTTGGACCAAGAATTGTTGTGAGAGTGGAGGACGATGGAAAGATGAAGGAAAAGAGGTTAGCGGATGACGGAAGGAAGAAGAGAGCTTCACGCTTTCTTTTCTGGGGAAGAGCTTCGCAAGCAAACGGAAAGCATGGACTGCAACTCGCGGAAGCTGGCGTCTACCTGCTAGCGCCTGCGCGTTTGGGACCCAGGGAAATAAGCTGGGAAAGAGGGCAGCTAGGAAATAAAACTTAGGACCTTAAACCTAACTGATAAAAACACTCAGGTAACTTGGTATAAATTTAGTGTAAGTTTAGGATACCTTTTGTAGAGTTTATTTTGTCACCCTAAAGTTGGGTCTCGTGTTTTCTTGCTCCCAGAGGGGCAGGCACAGGCACAGGCACAGCGCCTTCCTTCTCCACAGGCCATCTGGCTCCACTGTAATGTAACTGTCACGCAAGTTCAGGTCGAGGACCCGGGTCATCTCTCGGCCCGGGTCTTGCCCCGAATTGGAAATTAGATAAGGTAATTGTTAACACGTCGTCGCATGAGAGGAGAGGCCAGAGAGCAGAGCTGTGCTGTCCATTAGATTAGCTAGGATCACCACCAAAAAGAAGTCCCCTTTAAACTTCAACTCTCCTTTCTTCAACCCCTCGCGACTCCGATTCAATTCGACGACTTTAGCTTTTCTTCTACTCAACGAAGCTACATATCTTCTTTCGCAGCATCTAATTTTAATAACTCCTCTTTCTTTTCCCCATACACACACACAATATGTCCGACCAGGTTCAAGAGATCCTCGAGGTTCCCTCCGAGTTCGTCAAGGACGGAGTTCAATTCGTGCGACGATGCACCAAGCGTATGTCGACTCATTGCGCACTCACATCTTTTGCATCCACTAACATACCATTCTGCAGCTGACCAGAAGGAGTTCCTACGCCTCTGCCAGGCTGTTGGCGTTGGTTTCCTCATCATGGGCGCTGTTGGCTACGTTGTCAAGCTGGGTATGATATCCAATTTCCTTCAGGTGCAACATCCTCTAACATGTCCTTAGTGCACATCCCCCTCAACCACGCTCTCGTCGGTAGCGCATAAACGATCACACGATCAGGCGATAAAGAGATTCTGGATAGTGGCGACTTGACAATCCAAAAACCCGCACAGCGGGGGTGGACGCGAGGGCGATCACAACAATTTTCTTGCTGCGAGTACGTTCACTGGGGCGGAGTTAAATGAAATTATGGCGGGCACGCGACACACTTCTTACGCTGGAATTCGATCGAGCGCCGTGAGGATGAGAAGGATGTGCTTTCACGTCTAAGGCGCGGTTTGCATGGGGTTGAGAGATATCCTTTACAAGACTGCTGGCTAAACTGACCAACTGTACAAAATATATCCAACGCTGTTTCTTGCAAACTTACCCTAAACGCAGTCCATTTGTATATGTTGAGTTCTGGTATAGCTCAGGCTGTTCCTTGAGCAAGTGGTTGACACTCTGGCCCATCGGTGGTTCTCCTTCATCATCCACGTTGTCGTTATACGAATGCAGCGTGCAAGTTCCTCTTGCCATGTTGTAGCCATTCCAAGCAGACGCTGCTGATGTTAGCTAATGTTTTGGAGCGAAAACGGGGGAACATACCAACAAGGAGAGGGGCATTGGGATGCCAGCTTGCATCGCGGACACAAGTGCCCCAATTGCCTGGTTCATCGAAATGATAGAAGCGGTGCCGATTATCCATTGGACGAGTGCGCATGGTAGCTTTCTTCACATCTATGATTCCAGCCAAGCTCGCATCCATATTCCAAATGTATACCTTGCCATCAGTACTGCCTGAGTATACATATCGTGAGTTAGTGGACATCGGGGGTGAAAAGTGACATCGAATAAGAGTTCGAAGGACTTTGTGACCTCGGAAAGTCACGAGCGAATTATCATGGGGGTGCACATCCCAGTCCTCGTCGTCATATATGCCACCCCGGTAATCGAAGCCACTAGTGTTTGCATGTGCTGTCGGATCAAGTTCGTTGAATCGATCGGTCGACATGGCCATTCTTATATCCCATAGTTTCATTGACTGGTCTTTTCCGTTACTGAGAATATAGCGTCCATCTCCCTTGCTGTCGATGTATGTCAAGCCTTCGATGTGGCCGACAAAAGCGCCAGCTTCTCGGTGATCGCCCATGCTTCTCCGATCCCAGACCTTGATCGTTGTATCGTCGGAACCCGAATAAAGGATGTGCGGTGACATCTTGTCAGCGAAGCACACGGCGTTGACATCATCCGAGTGGCCGCGAACGTGGTGAAGAACTCTCCGAGACTCAATGTCATATACCACGATTGAGGCTGAGCTCGTTCCAGCCACCAGTTCTCGTCCATCGCCTGAGAACCTGACAGACCAGATACCGAAGCCGCGTCGCCCGTGCCATCCATGCGACGGACCGTTGTCTAAATCCAGTGTATAGGGATCTCCAGTATCATTTGGATCTGTAGGAGCTATGGAGACCATACTCTGAATTGAAGTATACGCGAGCCATTTGTTGTCAGGACTCAATGACGCATCTGTGAGTGTCCATTGTCCCCATGGGTAGCTGACTGTCTTGTAATGCTTCCAATTGTATGGACTGGAGGTGTCGTACATTCGTACTTTGAAGTCTTGAGAGCAGGCAAAAAAGAAGTTTCCATCGTCCGAAAACTGTCCGGAATACACAGGGTCATCGAAATGGATGATCTTCTCGGCTCTTGATTTTGGTAGTAGACTCTGGACGCTGTCAGTCAAATCGTCTTGATAGGAAGGTCTGGGCTCATGCCTGGTTGATAAGAGCAATATTTCGTATCCGATCTTCGCGGTTCCCCAGGGCCAACTCCCGCTCGAGCATCCTCACAGCAAGGTGCCTCTTTGCTCTGGGGTTGTAGTCATTTGCACCAAATGCTCCTGATCGCATAAGCTTCAAGCCCTGCTCACTTGGCACTTTCGGGAAGCGATCCGGGTCCTTGGGTGTTAGACGCCGATTAAAAGGCCAGTTATTCAAGAACTCGGCGTCGTCCCCAGGATTATCTTGGAATAAGACACTGGTAAGATCGGGGCTCTGCATCAAGGCAATAAGTTGTCTCCGTGTTAGTAGTCCTGTTCTAGCACCGGCTATTTTCATCCCCAGTGTCAGTCAAGTCTTTCACGATCGCTGAAAAGCCGAGACTTACTCCGTACAATGGTTACGAGTCGTTGATTGTCAGTAACGCCTTCGATCTCGTCCTCGTCTTCCTCCTCATCGTCGTCATCACCTCCATTCTCTAGCAATATTTCAATGTCACGAGTACCTATATGATACGATTAGTGAATTTTGGTATTACTCAAGCAACGGGTTGAACTTACCTTGAAGATCGTCTTCATCTTCTTCATCGGGTTCATCCTCGTAGTCTGGGTCTTCCTCATCCTCGGCTTCGTCTTCGTCTTCGTCCATTGGCCAGTAATAAGCCGGTGACTCCGATGATTCACGTGTGCTCTCATTACGGTTCTCTTCGTCACTTACATCCGCTGAGGGCGGTTGCGAACTCCTCTCACCCTCGAGAGGCGCCATGTTTCAAGTCGGTGAGATCTGGTGAATCGTGTGAAGGTCGAGATCAAGGAAGATAAAGAATGCTTGCTAAGCACGAGAGCTTGGCGGGGCGATACGGTGAAGATATAAGTAATGTGGTTGTTAAAAGATACAGTAACTATGCTACAGGGTATATGGGAGCTCCAGGCAATGCGGTTCTTCATGAGATCACGGCGGGTTAATAAATATCAATGATGCAATGAGTGTGATGCGATGAGTGTGATGCTTCAAAGACAGGCACTTGCATCTGTTGGGCGAAGTCGACTTATTACCTTAGAATGGGGAAGCTCCCGGAGCTTGTGACGACATCAACCGGAGATAAGATAAGCCCCGCGATGAGCTACCCTGGACTCGGATTCTGGCAAATTGGAGTTTAAAATAACCTCGTGTTTTGATATCAAGCATATTTAGACACATCAGCAAAAGATACATAAGTTACACATAGTGTTCTGAGGATAGCGCCTATTTAATAACGGTGTGAGGCCAGAGCTGCAACAGTCTTCATTTAGAAGTGACACCAAACAATCTGACGACGCCTACTAAACATGTGTACATTGACCCCGTGCTACAGAGAAGTGTGACCAATATGTTAACAAAAGGCACAGAAAAAAGAAAACCAGGAAAAGATATTCCTAACTCACTGGAATATGTGATATATGACTCTTACACCTAACTGGACCGGAATAATTCGCTCAGCTCACTCATCCATTGCCTATATCGGATTTGTTGGCGTTCCAAGACACAACTCGCCCATTCTTTCCACGTCCAGCTTCTTGCAAAAGTCCATAAATGATCGCAGTTGTTCAGGGCGTCTCAAAGGTTGAACAGGGTGTGAATCGAGGTGTACATTGATAAGTCGCAACTGAGATATCTCGTTTATTGGTGACGAGGGCACAGAGACATCACAACAATGAGCGTCCCTCCCAAAGCAATTACGGTGCCTGACTCTCCAGACTTCCCCCCTAGGCCTGAGCAGATAAATCGGTCCTTTCACAATAGCATCATGGACGCGAAGAAATGGCATCCCCAATCAAGCAAGTATTTCTCGTTTTAATACCATGATTGGCGGACCCAAGGTGCTCTATAAGAGACGCAGCAACGGCTTGGAGACTTCGTTGGAAAAGCATGATATCAATGTGGTGTAAGCCAAGAATGTGACAAAACGATGGGCTTCCGCGCGTTCAACTGAGAACTTTTCCCCTGCCTCAATGGTCCAAAACAACTATGAGGTCCAGAATATTATTGCCGACATCCGATGCTGCTTGGCAGCTCGTGTTTGTGGTTTCAACGACAGCCCAAGATTCAGTTAATGGAATGAATTGGTGTCAATTATGGTGCCACGATTCGTGAGTGGACGCAATGTCTAAGAGTCCCTACCGAGAGCACGAGACTCGCCGTTGATGATATTAATATCAGGAAATTGCTTTTTGCTTGCAGCAAGCAAATGAATAGTGTTGTTCTTTTGAATTTGTACATGAGTAAACCCCCTGTTTAGCATCATGGAAATGCCACTTCGGCCCCTGAAGCTTGAGTAAAAATACTTGGCCTCTAGGCAACATAAGGCTTAGCGCCCCACGGCTGGGGCCACGTCGCCACAGAACTTGAACGTCCTAGGGTCCTCCTTCAGCAGGGTGACACCCCTGTAGCCATTATTTTAGGCTCGTTCAAGGCTGCAGCTATTGGGACGGGCTAGACGGGGCAGCAAGCAGGGAGAGGAGTTTCCTCCATCGTATCGAGTACGGAGCGGATCTTCCATTTGGTTGCCCCTATGTAAATCCAAGCCAATCCAGATCATCCAATTCAACACCCAAACCTCCATCTTCATTCCTGTTCCAACCTTGCAGCTCCCTTTTTTGTCTCTTGAAATCAAGTAGTCAACGCGTAGCTCGATCTTGGCTCCGCCCGTTGATCGCCTTGCGGGAAACAGACTCCTTTCTTATTCCCTTTGGTGTCTGTCTGTAACTGTCTGAAGTCAGCATCAAGGCTATCTCCGCAAAGTTTATTCTACCTACGCTACGTTACACGCGACTTCGATTGTCGCAAGGTTGTCAGCTTCAAACTTTACTGATCAACCATCCTTTTTCGACACTCTGTTTCTCCTTTTGAATTGCGGCCTCGACCGCCGACAGTTTTTGCGACCTGACGATCGATTCTCTTCCTTGAACTTAACAACAACGATCCCAACTGCCCATCATGAAGATCCGAACCACACACTCGCCTTTGGTCCTTCTCCTCCTCCCTGCCGTAGCGAATGCGCTCGCCTCTAATGATATTGCCGACCTACCTGCCCCAGGAGCCGCGATTACAGAACAGACCGATGGCCTGCCCCAGGCTGGCGTAAAGCGTCATGATATTCCAACGAAATATGCCCCCGTTGATGGCAGAGACGGAAAGCCTCACCACGGACCCTTTATCGAAATAGATGATCACAAGAAGACCCCTGAAGTGGCCCTTGAAGCTGGTTCCGACACTGCAGCAGGATCTGGCTCGGGGGCCGGAGC